CGTTCCAAATTTAAATATTTGTAGCACCGTTTATGGTGAATGCTGTGGATTCCCATATATGTTGAATTTTGGTCAATCCGTGTAAGTAAATATTCGATTAAATTGTCGGTCTTAATTTTCTAAATTGGTCGATGATAATCATCGGCAGATTTTTCAAATAACATGTACACCGGATGCTTTACTATAGCCTTTACGTATAATAAGTGTTAGCTTCCTTATCGTTATATAATTTTAAATTTTAAAATTTGATTAAAAATATTTTAGCAATTTAAATTTTATGGATCTTAAGATCAAAAATTTTAAATTCTGTAATGAGATAATCTACATGCACATACGTAGTACGTATATGCATACGTATAGTGGTTCTTAACTGTTAAATTATTACTATATATATATATATATATCGATATATACAATATATACGTATAAAATAAAAGTAAAAAAAAATTCTTAATATTTTTAAGAAAGGGCTAAATTATAATAAATTGATTTAAGGCTTTATTTTTTATTGATTTTATTAACGTTATTGAAATCTTTAATGCTTCGTACTGAAACAAAAATAATAAACTTTAAACAGCCAACATATTTAAAAGCAAGTAAATTAGAAAGTTTATAGGATTCAAATATAGCAAAATGGCACTGTGCACAATGTTAAATCATTATTGCAGATGACGCAAATCAATCTAAATTCAAAATTTGAGACCGATGTTGTGCTCTGTAATTTGATTAGCGTATTTAGCATCATATTCCCGTGTTATATTACTAAAGTCTTAATAACGTATAAAGTAGCATAAAAGCGGTTCATGGAAGGCAAAAAAAATATTAATAATATATTAATTGTTCTAATATCGATGCAGGGCCAACATTTTTTTTTATAAATTTCGAACACCTATATACAAATTTTTTTTTTTTATTAATAAAAAAAAAAAAAATAACAAAAATGTGATGACTCCTTGTGATTTATCCCAAGGCAATTCACCCATATACAGTATTTTTATAATTAAACATAATTTTTTGCAAACATATCCTATATACAAGAAAAGAAATGCAGGTGATTATTGGTACAGATTATATGCCAATGACTTATCAAAATGAAATCTTATTAGAAAGAGGAAATAATTTTATATGATGGGAGAAATAAGTTATTTTTTTTTGACCGTTTGAAGACAAGCCTTAAAATAGCTCATATGTGAGGTCACATTATTTTTGCTACGGGAGGAGAAGAAACGTGCCCAAAATAATCTCTATGTACGAATGACGAATCGGAAGAGTTCTTAACGGTTGGCTTTATGTTGCTGCTAATACTTGGGACTATGATGCCGCCGTAAGGATAATCAGAAGGCCGTTGATTTCTTGATGAGGATGGAGCCGCAGAGCTAAAACACGGCGATTCATTCGGTGAAGTCGTAAAGGATAAAGATCCACAGGAACCTTCAAATTTTCCAGTCGCCAGAAAGGTTCCTCTTCTGTTCGTCGAGGGGAGCGGGGGCGAAGGTAACCCACCAACCAAAGTTGGAAAGAGACCTCTTATGTGAGGTGGAATGAATATAATCCGATTCCTTCCTGATGACAACACACATTTGATGATTGTTGGAGCGAGCGAGTCAGGGATTTCATCGTAGAAATTCGGCGCATTATGGAACAATTTGCATACAATGAATTTTGTGTATCAAATTACCTTTATGGACACGAAAGTATTCACGAGCTTGTTCTAAAAGCTCATGAGCCGATGTCGCATTTGGAAAGATTTGGCCTGATATTAAATATCAATTATGGGATCAATTATACTTGAGCAGCAAAATAAAATAAAATAAAATAAGAAAACCCAATTCAATGTTTCTACTTTTTACATTGTAAGAATTAAACATGGAAGCCAAATGAAAACAGTGAAGGTAAAAAAAAAATTGAATTCACAGAATAAATCAAAAATATATACAAGTAATTTACTAGAAAAAAAAACCCTGATCGCTGATGTAAAGAATATCTAAAAAGCTTTTTTAAATTAAATTAACAAATATTATGATAAGACATACAGGTTCTTCGCAAATTTAATTCACTAGCACGCCTATGCCGTAAGCTTTTTAATTCTTCAAAAGTACCTTCCCCCGGCTCTGTTGTGCCGTCTCTCCAAGGCCGCTTAATTATAACATCAGCATCATTTGCTGGACTTTCAATCACTGTATTTAGATCACCATAAGTAACACCGCCTATTAAGTGAAAAAAAAAAAAAAAAAATTTAAGATTCGATTGTAAATATATTATAAATAATGAAAAAGAACTTTTTGCCGATCGACACATTAAAATAAATAAAATATTGACCCCCACATTCAAGTACCTTGAGCCACTTTCACCAAGATATTTTTACGAAATCTTGAAGCAGCATCACCCTTTGATATATTTCCTTGTTTTGCTTTCAATCTTCGAACCAACAATATCCTACTGGTGACAGCAGCGAAATTTTCTTGCGGCAACGCAGAGGTCGTAGTCCTAGGTGGTTCAGCGGTACGAAAATCGTTCTCTTCAGGATCCCAATCGACAGCGAGATAATTTTTACACGAAAATTGTGACGAGAAATGTGGACAATTATGTATTTTTCGTCGTTTTGAGAATTCAGAAGGGACCAAACTAACAGGAGTTTGTTTAGACGTCGGCGAAGTAACAAAAGCCGAGGTCGAGGAGCCACATTTTCTTTTTAGCTTTGGCTCACCGCCAAATACAGGCCACCAGCCATTGCTATTGATGATATACTGTTGAAGTTTCAGAGAATCAGTTGGTGGCTTAGGTATTTGTGGTTTTTGTTGAGATACTAGCGATGTCCATTCAGACCAACTCTGTGTGAAATAATTTGATGGTAAAGTGTCCGTTTGCGGTGACTCATTTATATTTACTTCAGGTCTTTGTTGCAGACCCCCAGGTGTTATGAAAGAGTTTGGAGCCATTGTATATTACAAAAGGTCGAGAAAATACCGGTAATATTGCAATAGTTAAAAGAACAACTAATGTCAAGATAAACTACAAAAGAAAACAAAACCGTGTCTAAGGAAAGGAACTCGATAAAATGAATTAAAAAGTAGTAGATCTTTTATATAAGCGAGCAATTAGAGAAAGAAAAAAAGCCTAGTTAAATCAATCCCCCTTGATGCCAAAATCCAAACATCATAAAGCTGCAACTCAGTAGTACAAAGCAGAAAAATCGGAAACTAGAAATTGAAAATAAACAGGATTTTGGTTGCGCAAGAAAAAAAATATGGCCTCATGGGGCGTTGAACTAACTCAAATCATGTTAAACAAATCTGCACACTGGAGTCATTAAAAAATACTGTCGTTATTCATTTAAAAAAAACCTCATCTGTTACGAAACTTCCCACTATTGCTCGAGAAAAAATGTAATTAAATTCGTGATCTTTTGTTTTTTTTCACCACTGTTACAACTGTTACAACTGTTACATTGATCAAAGGATAATGTATACATGTTTATAAGATGTGTTACACGAAAACCAAACCAAACTTCTAGACAATTACAGCATCGGAATTGTTAAATGCTGCTATTACGAAATATAACGTATATAACGTGATCAAAGATAATGGTTTATTTTTGTGCGGTTTGACTTAATCTTTCATAATTGCTTGGATTCATTTAATTTATTAAACAATTTTTTTTTTTTTATAACCTATTCTAAATTTAGTACAAATTAAAAAATTGGTTTATAATAGTGTTGCAATAAATATTATTTATATTTTACTAAAATGCTGTATGTGAGAATGAGTCAATAGAAGACTAAGTAAAGTTTTCAGCTTAAATATCTTAAATTTAATTATTTTAAGGCCGATTTTTGAAATTTAACTTTAAAGCTAAATAACTCTTGATTTACTAGTCTGTTTTAAATGATTATACTGCTAAAATGTTCATCTCTTTGAGACGATTCCAACGAGCCCAAAATCATTAAAATCCCAATCACAGGGTCGAGAGATAATGCGCTGTCAAATAGTGACGCACCTAGAGAGTATGGTGATCGGTTTGACATAGGTCAAACCCATCACCCTATTCTCTAGGTGCGTCACTATTTGATAGCACATTATCTCTCGATCCTGTGATTGGGATTTTAATAATTTTGGGCTCGTTGGAATCGTCTCAAAGAGTTGAACATTTTGGCAGTATAATCATTTAAAACAGACCAGCAAATCAAGAGTTATTTAGCTTTAAAGTTTTTTTTTTAAAAAAATAATTTTTACTTATAAATTCCAAAAATTGGCCCATATGTTTAGCAAATTTGATTAAATATAATAGTTGTTAAAATATTTTAATTTAAAAATTAAAATAATTTCACTAAAAATAAATAATTTTATTAAAGATATTTTTTTTTTATTAACCTTTTTTATATATTTTTATTTTTTATTATTTTTTTTTTGGTATTGTTACAAAGCAGGTTGTAGCATGATGTAACATTAGTATAGCATAGTATAGATTATATTTCATTATTTGTTTTTTTTTTTTGGTATTAAGGTGACCTTTTTGGCTATAGGAAACTTTTTATTAGAAATCAAGAGTACTGGTTACAACAAAGATACAACTAGCTACTGTGCTTTTGGTACTGTCTATACTAGATGTCTATACCTGTAGCTAGTGATGAGTTCGAACAGTGTCCCAAGCTTTTTTGCTACATCCCAATATCCCAGAGTTTCAAAATGTCCCAACTAAGTCTCACGTTTTAATAATTAATAAATTAATTTAAAAAATATACAATTATATATATTTTTAGATGCTGAATCTATTTTTAAAAAAATTAAAGTAGATTATTTTAATAAAATTTTGAGTAATTTTAATTTATAAAATTGTTCCAAAATATTTCAAAACATCCCAATATAGATCAAAACTATCTCAAACTCATCACTACCTGCAGCCCAAACTAGAACTACCTATTTAAACCTTTTGATTTTCACTATATATACTCTTTCATTCTAACTATGAGACTATCACAGTTACAGCTCATCCATAATAGATTTCGCACCCTGCCTTAAAACTTCTGTGGGTTTATCTTGGGTTTGCACCAACTAATTACTAGCTTGCATTTCTTTGTTGAGTGGATACTACAGCTATCTATGAGGTAAACCTACTAGAGCTTTCTATATCCTATTCCGGCTAGCCTAGTCTTCATAGTCTTTAAAGATTCTACTTGCAGTATAGCTTAGTGACCACTATGCTCTTATAAAGTTCACTTTCTATTCCAATATCTATATTCAGACTTTCTTTTGTCTATTATTCCCTAACTAGTCTATCTTTTATTTCCAACTAGCAACCCAGAAGGTTCAACTTAAGTCTAGCTTTAGGTGCTTATAGCCTTGTCTCATCTTGGTCTATATTTTCATAGCATACATTTTTTCCCTCCAATTCAGGAGTTCCCAGTTCTCCGGTATACTTAGCCTATTTTTTAGCATATGCTTTATGATCCATATCTTCCAATCTACAGGTTCACTAAGGGTAGGGCCTTTCTGCTATCAGTTTTCCAAGCCAGCAACCTGGTTGGTATGCACCATGTATGTCTGTCAATTTTCGGGTT